CACATTCCCAGGTTGTCCACGCGGGGCAGGCGGGGCTTTGTCTCGCCACTTCTCTCCAGACTGTTTCTTTCGCGAATCAGTGCAATTCTTGTCCATATTTGGTAGTTTCAGCAAAAAATGATGTCTCGCACCAAAATGATTCACTCCAGTCATAGCCAAAAGGACAGAATTTACGTATATTCCGATCCGGGGATGAAGAGGGATTGGCTTCTGTATACAGATGGAGCCCATGTGTCGCAAGTTGGAGCCGTGTCGTCGTCGTGATCATAATAATAATAATAATATTTTCGTATGCAAGTAGAGTTTCGAGACTACCAGTAAATCAGTAATATGAGAAGTATTAACCCTATTTCGTTTAAGGAGATAAAGGAGTGATAGTAGAATTTTTCCACAATTATATGAGTAGACCTGACGTTTCCACTAAATTTCACAGAGCCTTGCTTTACTAAAAGTTGTTCTCATCCAGGTTGGACTGCAGTTTCGACCTCGCACCCCCAGAGGATGGGTTGGCGCACAAGAGACTAGGACGTAGGAAGCGATGGACATGGAATTACTGATAGAAACAGGAAAGATGCGGTGGAGACTAAAGCTATTTGGCTAACAATAGACGTGTTTGATCATAAACGTGATCCTTGAATCACGACTATTGTTAGTCAACTAGCTCTAGCTTCCACTGTTTATGTCCTCTTTCTATCTATAATACCAAGTCTATGACTTGCTATGCCCTAGTCTCTTGTGTGTCAACCCACAAACGTTGTGGCTCAAGATTGAATCTAATCAAAGCCAGCCGTACCACAACATGACGATGCCGACTACGACTCAGGCGAAACGTCTGGGAATGTACCACGTCCACGTTCCTACTCTGTAAATGATTATGCATACAATGGACTCCGGACTAGGTGCGTTCCTCGAAGACTTCCTACCAATATTAACAAGTTGCAAAAACAAGGTTAAACAACTTCTATACCCGCAGAGGAGTTGAACAGTGACAGTGCAGAATCTGAGCTTGACAGGTTAACCACTCGGCCACATTGTCACGATTGCCCTTGGGTCACAGGGCAGATGTCAATTTCAAGGAAGGCCAAGACTTTTACCATATCACAATCTTTGGTGGGATTGTCGATGAAGCAAACGTATTTTTGCTATAACAATCGACTACGTTACTTATAATACCCATATTACTGATTTACTGGTAATCTCGAAAATTGAATCACATACGAAAAATAAGTAACTTAGTAGATTGTTAAAGCAAAAATACATTTGCTTCATCGACAATCCCACCAAAGAATGTGATATGGGAAAAGTCATGGCTTTCCTTGAAATTGACATCTGCCCTGTGACCCAAGGGTGCTCGTGGCAATGTGGCCGAGTGGTTAACGTGTCGAGCTCACATTCTGCACTGTCACGATTCGACTCCGCTGGGGGTATTGATAAGACATATGCGGGGTCGAAACTGCAGTCTGCTCGATGCGAGATAAGAACTACTTTTAGGAAAGCATGGCTATGTGAAATTGAATGGAAACGTCAGCTCTACTCATATCATTGTGGGAAAATTATACTACCAGTCCTTCATCACCTTAAACGAAATAGTGTGAATGCATCTCCTATAATCATCATCATCGCCATTATTTTTGTTGTTGTTGCTGTTGTTATTATTATTACTATCGTCAACATCATCATCATTCCTCCATCAACTGCCTATTGGTCCGAATAGGCTCAGCAATGCGTTCCCTTCAAGAGACTCGGCCCCGAGTCAGACATGCATCGTCGTTTTGGTTCCGACCATTCATGCATCCATGAGCAAGTAGAGCATGCACACGGCGCCTCTGTAACTGTGGCGACCAAACAACCACGGATACGAGGCATTTGTGAATACCTACATTCCAAGTGCCCGCTAGTCTATGCAGACATTAGGATCGGAGTCTGCCGTGGCGCTCGAGCCGGCCGGAAACTCGGTTCGCCCGCACAGCCACATTGCCAGAAGCGGTCGGCTTTGGCCAAGTCAGCGCAACTTGCAAGCA